GCTGCAGGCTGCCTATAGGATCGATCCAGCGGCCGATCCTCTGCACCCTCTTAATAAGAGCATGTGGGGGTAACCCAGCAAGTCTCAAGAGGTCTCGGACCTTTCTTTGTTCTATGTCAACCCACGCTTTCGCATTCCTAATGATTGGTTCCTCGTTGTTATAAATGAGGATGTTCCTGTTCCTTCCCATTACCGTTTCGTTCTCTATTTTGAGAAGCTAGTATTGCTTCTCTGATGTGGCAACTTTCCTTTCTAGCTCCTTTACGATTTTCGTCAGCTCTTCCTGCGAATCCAGTGAGTTCTGGATTTTCACTCCTGTGTTGCCTACATCTGGAGAAGATTTTCGACCGGCGCCCTCCGCCAGTGCTGAGAATATGTAGCAGAACCACTGCAAGGCGTCATTTCATACGTAGGCTTCGTAGGCTTTACGGTCTAGGCGAGCACATGATTGGTGGTACCAGTATCCACAGCAATCGCACTGAATACCGTCAGAGACCATTTTCTGGCACTTAAGAGCTCCACAGAAACCTGTTTTGGCCATTGCAAAGCTAACAGTTTGCAACTAATTTCTCTACGTAAAATGTCTTACGTAATGAAATCACTGATTTCAAAAAGTGATACCCGAAGATTCACCGAATATCTTCTTTAAGCGGGTTTACAGACGTTTAAACGATTAACGGCGGTTTCAGCGGCTTTAACTCACGGATATTCGTAATTTTGAGACTAGAGTTTACCACATCAAAAATTTGAACCGAGCGCTCAAGGTCGTTCAGTTGGACAAGAGAGTACCTGCCAACCCTTCAAGCTCGACAGAAGTGGTTGCATAGAGGATTTTCACTGAAGGTTGGGGACGTTGTTATTATGGCCGACGAAAAGCTACAACTGGCCACTGGGTGTAGTCATAGAAAGCCACACGGACTCAGATGGGCAAGTGAGAACAGTTAAATTGAAAACATCTGCCGGTGAACAGGTGCGCGATATTCGACGAGTGTGTTTGTTGGAGGGAGATGACCACCATGCTGTTAATTGATGTAGTTGCAGAGACCCGCCGTGTACTATATTCACTTGACTTCCACTTGCATGACTTGCGCCCCAGTGATATTCACCCCACCTGTATCAACACGTGCTTCCACGTCCTTGGCATACGTTCTCTCTATTTCGTTTCGTGACTGAGTGCCTTTTTTATCAGATTGATACACAATTTATGACATTAACCTCGAAAGTGTGATCCATGTCATCACAACATCCATCCATTCACATCCACACAATCACCTGCATGCTGAACATGGTTTTATTTGTAAACCTTGAACATTAATTACACCGCCCACCTTCCCCCCTCCTTGTTTACACATGGAGACTTTATCTGTAATGATATTCAAGTTAGCGAACAACTGGCTGCAAGCGTGCTGATTCAGAAGGCGGATGCCGATGAAGAAACGTGCACGTCGTTGGAGGTCAAGATCAATGAGTGCGGCGAAGGTTGATTAGTTCGCAAGTAGAAGCACTGAATGCAGGGACTAGGTAGGTAGATAGGTAGAAAAGAATCAATGACCTGCGTCAACCCTTTGACTCCGGCACATTTGAATTTTGCGTGGTCAGAGAACGTGAGCGACTGTTTGGTTCTGTCTGGACATCATATTTGGCTCGCTTTCTTGAGTGCTCTCGGTCGCATATTTGAGGTTTGCATTACTGTACATTTTTAATGATTTCGCTAATTCCGTACCGTAGAACATTACGGATCAATCGTGTTTTTTTTCGGGATTCGTATCGGTTTCGGCTACGCGTAACTCAAATGCAAATTGGTTCACTTACACTGGGAGGAGCCCCGAGGAGTCCTCTTTTANTTTAGTGTTCGGTGGGGCTGTGTTGCAAACCAGGCTGTGTTTAGTCTACTTTTCGCTTTTCAGCATCTTTTGTCCCTTATTCGAAGGTGCCTCAATTCCCAGATTCCCAGATTCCCCAGAACCCAGACCCTTAAACGAGACTGCGGTTTGCACTTAATCAATGGCGGCCAGCTCAGCAAACAATCGTTTCATAGAACAGGACAGGATTTCAATCGAAACACCTGTGAATAGGAGGCAAAAGAAGCTGAAAAGCAAAAAACAGACTAAACCAAGCTTGGTTTGCAACCCAGCCCCACCTAACACTAACAGAGGACTCCTCATAGATCCACCCAGTCGCAGCTAGGTGCGTCAGAACACAACGCTCAAGCGGCCAGAGGCCGATAAAGGACCAACCCTTTACCCTTTTGAATAATCGTTCCTACGGTGTACACTCCCAGGTCAATAACGGCAAAAGCGGGGCAGTTTTTCGGCCGAAGGGGGCGACTAGCCGACCGCCGGAAAGGCTCGTAAACAAAGCCCCATCGATGGTGAGATACCCTCCCAATATAGCGCCCGACCAACGTACACTCAAATTAATCGTCGATCACCACCAATGTACCTTTCGACTGCTCAACCGGTCCTGCCTTTCTCCCCAACAAACTCAATAACGCTGAAGGATGCATAGTGAAAAGCATTCTTCTGGTGAAAGCCTATAATAGGTTTGTCACCCATAATAATGAACGGCTCAGTCCTATCACCAATTCGCATTTCTTCTCATCCCACCCACTCCCGTGGCACATGCTGACCAAGCGGCAGTGTTCACTTTTACGCCCATTCTAGATCCAGTACACCGGTCAACCTACATAGCTGATCAGTGGAATAGATATTCTTCTGTTGACAACCTACAGAAGCTTTGTCACCCGCAAAACTGAGCGTCTCAGCCCTATCACCCATTCGCAATTCTTCTCATCCCACCCACTCCCGTAGCACATGCTGACCAGGCAGAAGTGTGAAAATTTACGCCTATTCTAGATCCAGTACACTGGTCAACCTACATAGCTGATCAGTGGAATAGATATTTTTCGGTTTTGAACTACACTAGGTTTGTCACCCATTATACTGAACGTCTTCTGGTGAAAGCCTACACTGGTTTTGTCATCCTAATA